TGTATCACACCGGTGAATGCTAGAAAATAGTGAGCGCTTGCTACTGAGGGACAATGGTGCTCACTTTAGAAGTGATTTTCCCCCATTGTATTGTAGCTAAAGATCAACTTAATTCATGTAAATTCGTTTCGAAGTGGAAAGATTTTCAGGTTCCGAAAGATTTTTATTGTTTTCAAATTACATTATTGTGCCAATGATCGCATTTTATCTTGTTTCTTTCCCATCACCTTCGCTGAACAGAAACGGAAACGGGTAACGTGGGTAATCGAGAGCGCCCTCCCTGCCCCCCCCCCACAGAGGGGGCGTTTTTTTAGTCACTTGTTAGGTTCAGCCGAGCCTCTTTGGAAGGCATCAGACGCTTACACGCGCGCCTCAAACCCGATCGCCCCAAGCTAGGCAGATATTTCACAAGATTCTGTTTCGGCGCTTATTTCGCTTCGGAACCTTTAGCGGACATAGAGCCGCTAATTTACGCGCTAGGCGAGCTTGGGGCGTCCTTGTGCCAGCGGCTGACGGGAATAAAAACTTTGATAGGGTACCAGTATTATAACACTCATGTAATACCACTCCGTATCAAGATAAGTTCTCTAGACAAATGGTGTCTTACTATCCCTCACGCACTTGGTCAATGAATCCTGTCTTCGGGTTCAAGTAGAAATATATAATCAGTCGGGTGGGGCTTAATATTGCCGCCTGATGCATCCGCCAGGTTCAGAATATGAACCTGGTAGAAAATGTAGAAATACACAATCGGATGAACCGATGGAAAAAGAATTCAGTTTACTGATAATAATGTCTTATTGTAATGTGATTACTTTATGAACGGCGAATGAATTTGGCCTCTGGTAATGGTGAGTTGTGTAAATCTCAAATGTGGCACAAGAATCAATTGCCAAGCGTCTTGGTGAATAGTTTCTGCAGATATCTCGAACATTCGTGAAACTCGTGGCACGACGATTAACTAAAAGAATAATGACAGAAATTAAGACATTAATGTGTGCGATATCAGTAATTGATGCTTAGAAAAAGATTTGGAATTTTATTGTCGATGCTCAAACTTATTTCATCTAAAATTAAGTGATATTAAGCCGTAAAAATTAATTCGTTTTGCATTTAGAAAGGAAGCTATTGAACGAATTCAATAATAAGTTGGGCTGTCGTCCATTTAGTCGCAGCAGATTTTCTCCTGCACCTTCAAGCATTAACGGCCACGACCGTTTCGAATTAAGATCGATCAGTAACACCATTCCGGCAGTGAACGTTGCCATTGACGTGACAGCCGTCTTCATCTGTGGAAGTGCCGCTCTCCATTTATTTCAATAGTAATTATTGTTCACTTTTAAAATGAAAAGAATGCGTTTTCAGTGTTGTCAGCAAGCATGAAACCAAGCCTTTGATGATTAATATGCAATTTTGCTCAAATAAAACAAATTCTAGGATATGATGTCAGCGAAGATGAAAAACTAATTCAAAACTAATTGCAGAATCTTACGGTGTTGTAAGTAAACACGATACAAATCGAATTCAAACAATTCCGTCTGGCAGATAATTTTGTAATCGCTGAACTAATGAATACCTGCGGAACCTGGTCCACGGCTCAGTCATAAATGTGCTATAAACTCAGCTCACGCCATAGTACCTATTAGTCACTCCTTTATTCACCTGCAATTATACAGGTACTAAAACTAGGTATTAAGCAGCGTAAATCAAGTTCAAAACTTCAATTTTATTCAGGAAAATATTTAGGCATTAGTCCATACATCTTATTTTTTTAATTACATCTTATTTTCTTAATTTTAAGGCAGGCCGAATTGAAGTAGTCATCGATGATAATTACCGTATTATGCCTTTAAATACAATGTGAAACTACCGTCAAGTATTGCAGACACTTTGTGATAAGGGATCAAGTTTAGTGACTATACGTGTGCTTGCCTGATGACTAATGTATCGGTAACTGAAGGAAAAAATTTCTCCATTGTAATACTCAAGTTTGAGCACCAGAACAGGTTCCTCCTCATAGCATTTTTCTTTCGTCGCGTCCAATAGAAATTCCAGTAAACACGATTTATATACAATAAATGTCCACCGTTGCATGACACTAAATTAGAAGAAATAAATCTAAATTGTATTTCCAAGTAGCAGGCACCGTGATAAATCATGGTTCTTCGATGAAGGCTCCATGCATATTATTAGTGTTTTACTGAGCCCGGCGCCGTGCGGGTGATTTACTTCACCGGTAATTGGATGGCTGCTACAATTATGAGCATATGAATCAATTATGTACAGATGGCATTCTTCTAGTAAACGTTTTATTTTTATTTCTCTTGTTAGTGTCTTGCTCTGTATACAGTGAAAACGTCGCCTTTCTCGAGACAGTACAAACGTCGCCTTGCTCGAGAGAGTACAAACGTCGCCTTGCTCGAGTCAGTACAAACGTTGCCTTGTTCGAGACAGTACAAACGTCGCCTTGCTCGAGAGAGTACAAAAGGCGCCTTGTTCGAGACAGTACAAACGTCGCCTTGTTCGAGACAGTACAAACGTCGCCTGGTTCGAGAGAGTACAAACGTCGCCTTGCTCGAGACACTACAAACGTCGCCTTGTTCGAGACAGTACAAACGTTGCCTTGCTCGAGACAGTACAAACGTCGCCTTGCTCGAGACACTACAAACGTCGCCTTGTTCGAGACAGTACAAACGTCACTCATCTTGAGACAGAACAAACGTCGCCTTGTTTGAGACAGTACAAACGTCACTCTGCTCGAGACAGAACAAACGTCGCCTTGCTTCGAGACAGTACAAACGTCATTTGTTCAAGACAGTACAAACGTCGCCTTGCTCGACAGAACAAAAATCACCTTTCTTGAGTCAGTACAAACAACGCCTTGCTCGAGACGTAAATAACATTGCCATGATCGAGACAGAATTCACGTCGCCTTACTCAAGGCAAAACAAACGTCACCATGCTCGAGGCAAAACAAACTTCGCCTTGCTCGAGGCAATGCTAAAAGTCGTCTCGCTCGAGGCAGTGCCGAACGTAGTTTGAGTGAGCGCCTAAATCGTGCAAATCTCATTCGTTTTTGCCAGCTGCTTATAATAACGAATTCGACGAGCACCAGGCCTTAACTAGTTTATATCTAGATATAATAATCTTGATTTTGGCGTCCGTTCTGAGTAGTGGATAACATGACGCTTGTTAATTAGCTTAAATAATTGAGTGCCCAACTGCACTTATATTTCGTGGAAATTGAGCAGCTTTGTATGACTAATCTCAGTATATCATGAGTACAATTTATGAGTACAGAAAGTCGAAAGATATGTTGTACCGTTGTAATTGACATTGTCATCAAACTTTCAAACGATCGACCAGCTGGTCGGCTTCAGTCGCAAGCTAACGGTGAATGAGAGAGGTGAATGCAAGAGAAGATGTGTTGAATTTCTTGTACTTTTATACACTTTTAATTTATCCTGTTCACCTAAAGCATGCGAGTAAGGCACAATATACCTGTAGTAAATTTATTTGGACTCTTAGATTAGACTGTTAAAATGACAAGCTGAAGTAGGAAATACGAGTAAATGGTATTAAATGGGGGTTTCTAAGTTAAGTTGGTTTTGAGATTTTTTTTCTTCTATTATTATACTTTTATTATATAAGCAATCTCTTTAATTTCGTCAGGTTGGGTCCGCAGTGGTCTGTAACGGCACGTGAATAGGTTCTCGCATTAATAGGTTTCGGCAAAATAGTACAAAGAGAGGGTTGTAATGAAATACTGATACATTTCATGTTAAATTGAAAAATTCAAGTTCACATCCTACGTTAACAAAAATCTCTAGTACATGAAAAATGTAATTTGAACACATTCAAAATTGAGAACCTATCAGTTTACATCACAAAAATCTCTCTATTTACCAGAACGTTCATAAATTGCAGTTCCGTTTCATCGTCCGTTGCAAACTACCGTATAATACACGCACACTTTACAGCCGTAGCGTACCGCATATGCAGCGACCGTACCGCAGCGTATATGCTTATGCAGCGACCGTACCGCAGCTGTAGCCGCACATTTGCAGCCGTATTCCAAGTGGTCGTACTGCCGCTGTTGCCGCGCGTCCTCGCGATCGCTGTTCTTCATAACCGTCGTGTCTTGCTAATATTGATGCCTCACGGCCAGTCTGGCCGTAGGTTGTTTTACAAAGACCGTACTTCAGAGTAGTGGCGTAGTCTTCATCGTCGATGATGTTACTTCGGGCTCAATGCGGTGCTTCGGCGGTTGAAGATGACTGTAACCGTACCGCTTCTTCTTGATGGAAATCGTGACCGAATCGTACTGATGATCGTACCGATGATAACTCCCGGTATAGAATTCGAAAACTTGGATCTTCTGATGGCGGCGTTATAATCGTGGTACAACTCGTGGCCCTCTCGCATTGTCTCACGGCTGAGTCGCAGCCGTAGTGTTGATGTTGATTTTCTTGACGTGCTTACAGAAATCGTAGCTGTCACGATGGGTCTAGATACCTTTCGACCGTCAATGTTCGAAAACTGCAACACCACCGGCCTCACGGCCGTGGTCCGCTGACTGCAGACCGTACGTGCGTGAGGGTCACCTCCGTAGAACCAACAACAACCCTTGGCGCCAATTTTGAGATCTTTATATACGCTAGAGTCGCGCACAGTTAAGCCTATTCACTCGAAGTGACGGCGCATTCCTCGAATGGAATGTCCCTCGCGCTGAGCTGGCAACGTTCAATGTCAACTAAACTCCTTCCCGCGCTCTCGAAACAACCGCGCCTTACACACTTGCTCTATCGCTTCGACCCGCATTCTTAACATCTACCCATAATACATGTTCAATATTACCTACTTTATTCAAATGAAAGAGCAAGTGCTTATATGCTGGTGTTAAATTAAAAAAATACCGGCAGTGATGCACGGGTCTACGCGCACCTCTTAATGATGTTTGAACTATATTCTATTTCAGAATAAGTAGCAATTAGAACAAGATGGTAATAGCCTCGACCAGCTTCAGGCTGGTCACAGGGTTGTCGTCAGCGTTGTCTCTGCTGAGCTTCGTGAGCGACGGCCTAGACTATTTTACTAATTTAATTTTCTTAATAAAACTAATATATTAATATAATAAGATTATACCATAATTAATAGAATTTATCTATAGAATATTCAACGAAATTTTACATTCTTGAATTCAAGATATGTAATGAATTTAATAGAATTGCCAACTAATTATTTCGACCAACAGTTCCGTCATCAGTTCAGGTAAAATTACTGCACTAATCATTATTGTCTTTTTTATTAGTGCAGTAATTTTACTTCTTCATTATTTACTTCATTTTAATTTCTTCATTATTGTCTTTTTTTGACGAGAACAATCAATGAATCATTATTTTAAAAACAAGATGCTACTTATTGTTACAGCCTGATAACAATTCCCTTCATACCCTACATATACAGCTATTTAAAAGGGTTACTTGCCCAAATTATTATTTAAAGTCATCTTTCAACTGAAATTCTCAGGTTCAGAAAAGTATTTGTTTACTCAGGCCTTACGAGTTAGGTAAACGTTCTATGATTCATCGCTGAAACTGTATCGGTTATCCAATTAAATTGTAATTTAAAAATCGTTAAAGTGAAAATTTTTGGCTTACTCATGCGACTACCGGGCTTATCAGATGTTTTACATACATAATTATCGTAGTTTTCGCAGTTTCGCTACTTACCGTCTAGCTGAGGACTGAGGGTTTGATAAATATTATTCATTAAATTTTGAAGTAGCTTCAATTTTATTCATGACTCAATTTCTGTGATATAATTATAACTAATTTCATTTTCACTGCACAGGGCTTAGAATAAATGTTTTCTTAAGAGCTGTGATGTATTTCAGCTGATTTTGCTATACTTCTACTTTCCTTTCAAACTTGATTGCCGGGCAAGCAACAATTTACGAATTATATCTCTTTCAGCGTTAAGAAAATTATGCTTCTAAAATTACTATAGACCTCCAGTTAAATGAGCATTAGCGCTTTCTTCAGTGCTTTTCTCATCTTTTGACGGAAAATTATTTTTTTTGTATTGTTTATTACCTAGGAAGCACTTCAAGTGCGTTGTGAATTTGAGACCCTGAACGCCTTGGGGACACCGTACATGTTGGGTATGGTGGCCCCAATGTGCGTTGGGTATATTATTCGAATGGGGTCTGTTGGTTCCTATATGTGTTTATGTTATGTGTGTCAATAGAGTGTCGATAGAGTGTCCTTGTTGTTTTACTCTTCAATTTTCTCAAATTAATTACCAGGGTCATCAAAAGATCATGGGTGCAATAGTTAGACATTGAGCGGCCCAATTAAACTGTCTAGAAGTATTAAGATCACTTGACTGCTTAAATCTCAAGTTTATCAAGAATTTAAAAGCAAAGAAAATAGGCAGAAATTTCACACTTTCTTAACAAGGAAAACGTTTCGGAGTCCATGCAGCTCCATCATCAGTTTAAAACCTAAAACACAGGTACAAACAATTAGTAAACAAATTCACATTGGAGCATAAATCGTCAAATGAAAACACATAAGAATGAAGTAAATATGGGCAGACAAACCTATCTATTTATAAGTTCGAGGGGATATGAACTTTAGGCGGCATTTAATCTAGGCTTTTGTTTAAAAATATAAAGGGACTCTAAAATTCGATGGTCGGAAACACCGGTCGTAGAGGCTAAAATTCAAAAATCTCTATCGGACACCGGCACGTTGCCCTGCTCGGCATGAACGCGTACTGCTGAATGAGGGGGATGAGCAAGAAGCAGGTTTCCTGTTCTAAACCCCTTCCTTTATGCTCCGCCAGCCTAGTATAAAAGTTGCGAGTCGGTATAAAAATCGGTATATCTGCGTATGTCGGTATAAAAATATACCACATGCGCAGATGCGCATAGCGCACAACTATATTGATAAACTAGGGACGATCGCATAGAACAGGGAGTTTAGCTTTATAGTTGAAAAAAATAACTGATTAATTATTCACCAGCAATACATGAAGATTTATATTTGGGAGGTATTTAGAGAACAAAACTTTCAACTCTTTAGCCATAGACTGCGAAGCGGGACGAAAGTAAGGAAATGAACAATAAAACGCATTCTTGATTTCTCTGCCTCAAGTGTTTCTCTTTTTCTATCTGCTTTTTATCGCTTCAACAGGTTGCTCCCTGCCGCTTCGTTGTGGACCCAGCGGTGGTCGGGAGCGTGTCGACGCCAGTTTCGGCCGCGTACGTCATGGCCAACAACTACGCCGGCAACTCTACCCTCCTGGAAATCCCTACGCCTTTCTTGAATTGGGAGTGAGTAAAAAACTTTGAATGCATTATATTTATCGACAGTAGATTTCAGTTTAAACGATGATCTTACTTAATTTCTATAAATTTTCGTGGACTGCGTTGTTCCCACTAGAGTCTCTTTTCAAGAGTCAATATTATGCGTAAAGAAGTTGATGAAAAATTATTAGTTTTCTACAAGCACAAAAACTACTAGTACACATAATTAGCAACTTCTTATAGCCGTTAGAAAAAAAAACAGATTGTTTTCTGAAGATCAAAATACTTAATTTCTGGACGAGCGTCATTATATATTTGACTAGTAAATTTTGAGCGCTCATTTATGCACTTCCTTGAGAGCCGTTATTACTAAGCCTATATTCTAGTCTATACTTGAAGCAGATAGAAAACTGTCATTTTTAGTTTTGGGGGGCGGGAGTGAAGGTTGCATGCAGGGGACAAAAACGATTGTTGTGGTGACGGTTGACGGAAGCGAAGGTTAAGGAGACCTGGTCACCTGAGTGATGGTTGCTGGGACAAAAACGATGGTTGTGGTTGCGACAGGGAAGGTTGCAGGGACTAAAGCAATGATTGTGGGGATGAGCGGAGGTTACGGGCCCAAGTGCGGTGGTTATGGGGGAGAGGAGCAGTGGATATGGAGACAGGAGCGAAGGTTGCGGTGACCATGGAAAGCACTGGTTGTGGGATAGGGGCGTTGGTTGTGATGACGGGAGCGATGACTGTGATAATGGAAGCAATGATATTCACCACGGGAGCGATGGTTGTGATGACGTGAGCGATGTTTCGATCAAAGTAGCTGAGTTGACCTCTGAAAGTGGACCTAAATTTTATTTTATCATCTTCTAGAGCTGAACGTTGCTTGGCCCAAAAGTGTCAATTCGGCTCCATTCCCATTTACTTTTTGACCAGACAGAAGCTACCTACTATAAAAACGATTTATTTGAACCGAATCTTAAAAAACTTGGCCTTCCTGTGATTATGTTTAAAAAGTAGTCGTGTTGCTACTATATCTTTTTCTCTTTTGAGGAACTTTCGAGGAACCTCTTTTGAGGAACTACGGCTTTCGGCCGGAGTGGTTTCAATGGCACCTAAGGTTCTCTATCCAGCAATAATGAATTAGTACAGGAGGGTAATAACGACACATCGAAAGATTCAACTCTACATATAGCATAGAAATCAGACACAGACCTAAGTACAGAAATTGGACAGAGTTATTGTTAATAGCTTTGTATAACACAGACAACGACTGGCCCCCTCTTTGAAAAAATACCCGCTTCTACGAAAATGAAAGAACTGCCTGACGCAAGTTCCCCAACCGGTATATCACCGGGTTTGGGACACGGATACTGAGGGCTGGTCGACTTCGTCGCTACTTGTTCCCCCGTATTTATTGTTAATCGACGATCTCGCACGATCTTCGTGAATCCTTGTTTTGGCGCCCTCGATGGTATTTCTTGACGCGGCTGGGCTGGTGTTGAATCTCGGTCTTCGGTGGAGTCAATCACGGGACTCTAGATCCGTAAAACGGCTGAAGTCGGAATGATGCTGGAGCGTTGGACTGTCGAGTAGCTCCTCGACAAAGTCGTCCGCGGTGGTAGTTTCTGAAATTTTAACTAATGTGCATACATATGTTTGCGGGTGTTTTCGGAATCCTGTCCTCAATCTAATGCAATAAAACAATTGATAGCAATTCTCGTTGTTCGACACTTTCGTTATGCTTTCTTTGGCAGTTGTGCCTAGCATACCAGCGCTACACTGACCGCCAACTTGGTCCACGCCCGACTCGCCTCTGACCGCGCGACCACTCGTTTGGCTTGCTGGCTCGGGACTGACTCTTGACGCACTCCTAGCTACTAGCTACTTGCAGTGGGTGCAAAAAGTATCTGACACAAAATAAAAACATTATTTAAGTAAAGCTTATTCAAGAAAAAATATAAACAAACATTATTCTAATGTAAATTTACATGGAAAATACAAATATCATATCAAAACAACAAATCATTAAATTTTGACTTGATAATTGCATTTTGTAAAAATCAAGGTTCAAAAAGTATACAACACATAGTAAACAAATTTACTCATTGCTTCATCATGTGACATTTAGCAGCCACAACTGCTTCAAACAGATTGAAACACTTGATTAGATTAAGATTAACACATATATGCTAATAGGATTTTAGCCAACTCTCCCTTTCATATTTTGTTCAATTTGATAAGATTTCTTGGATCTCCTTCCTGTACCTTCAATTTCAATTCTCACCACAGATTTTCAATCGGATTGAGGTCAAGTGATTGGCTTGGCCATTCCAATAACTCAATGTCCCTCTCCTGAAACCATACACGAGTTGCCCTAGCCGTATGCTTAGGGTCATTGTCTTGTTAGAATATTCAACCTCGAGGAAGGTTTTCGGCTGACTTCACGAGACCTCTCTCAAGTATGCCCAATACATTTCAGAATTCATTCTTTGTTCTATGATTTCCAATTCCCCTGGGCCAGCAGTAGAGAAACAACTCCAAAGCATTATGCTGCCACCTCCAAACTTCACGGTTGGGACTAGAGTTCTTCTGTCTCCAAACACGACTGACACAGTTCCGTACAAGCAACTCAGTTTTAGTCTCATCTGACCATAATATTTTATTCCAAAAGCTTGAAGGTTTACTCACGTGTTCTTGAGCAAAGTTCAGGCGGTTCTTTGCGTGAATTTTCTTCAAGAGAGGGGTTTTTCTTGGTGACCGAGAGTGGCATCCTCTCTCTCGAACTGTACTAATTGTATTCTTGCAAACATTTGTCCCACTTGATTGCAAGTCTTTTTGCAGTTCAGAGCGTGTCAGTCGAGGATTACTCTGTACTTTTGGAATTGAACTTCTACCTGCTCTGCGGTTAAAAATTTTTGTTGGACTCCCTGAACGAGGTAGACTACTCGAAAGATGGAATGGTATAGGTCAAACAGCTCCGAACATGCAGTATCACCAACTGTCGAAATTGATATATTTACTATAGATGAAATTTTTCTAAATCCCAAACCATCTCTGTGTAGCTGAATAATTGATTTTCTAGCTGATTCAGACAATTTTGCAGTTCAAGGCATTGTTGAAGAGCATATAATTTAGGCCACCTTCTAATGACGATGCCAAGTAATGAATGACTGCAGTTAGAAAGATGTCTATGACGTTCTTTTGCATTCTAGAATATTCCAACGTTTTCTGATTCTAGAATATACCCCCGAACAGAATAGATGAGAAATTATTGGGGAATCAATTTTTTTACGATGTGTTGGTTACTATTTGAACCTTGACTTTTACAAAATTGCAATTATCAAGTTAACATTTGATGATATTGTATTTCCCATGTAAATTTATATTAGAATAGTGTTTGTTTATGTTATTTTGTTAAATAAGCTTTAATTAAATGAATTTTTTCCTTTGTGTCATATACATCTAGCCCACTTATATGCCTCGCAACCTGGAAGGTAGCGTCGCTTTGCTTTTACCAAAAACAATCCCAGAGTTTTCCCCCATGGGACAAAAAATGCCACGGCCCTCAATCTCGCTATTCGTATTCTCCCCCTAAATTACACCCTAATTAACATTAGTAATTCTTATTCTTTAATCACATGAGTACTTGAATTTAAAAGCAAAGAAAACACCAATAAATTCACCATATCGATATTGAAAACGTTTCGGAGTCTAGTTCCATCATTAGTTCGAAAAACTAAAAATGAATAAAATCATATTATTATATCAAAATTCTGTGACAGACATAAAACCTATACAAGACCTAACATTAATATATCGAAAAAAAGGACTCGATTGGAACAACTTAGTCCTAGGGTTCACGAAAAATACCTTCCTTTTAAATTCCTTGTGAAATTACGATATTAGCAGATTGATAATATAAGTACTTATGAGTACTTGAGTTATAATTGTTAGCACACGCGTGTTCTGTTCGACCACCTGCGTTGCTAGTGCGGTGCTCCATTTGAGACGGGGAATTGAGAAGCTCGACAGTCACCCTCGATAAACTTTCAATATTTGTCAGCTGACTCTGCACAGTTAGTGGCCAGTCTTAGAAGGATTAAATGAACAAATTTTTATTCAGCTCCTGTAAAAACTAAGACTTCAGAACCAACTCCATAGCTCTAACGCTCTTCAGCTCTAACCAACATATATCCACAGTTTCCTTATGAATATAGCTTTTGGTAAGCAACGGTCTTATATACCGCGTTCTCAAGCTTGGTGAAGATATATCAGTTTCGAATTACTTCGCCACTCATCATTCAGTTTTTAAGAACGTATTTAAGCGATTTAAAGAAGATTTTCAAGGAGTCATTCCTACAGCAAAGGTTCGCATTTAAATATTAATCAATTGAAAACCAAAATAGTTACATACAACGAACATTAGTAGTGGCATATAATGAATGTTAAAATATCATGCATAAGAAAGCGTTTTGCAAAATTTGTAAAGTTATGTGAAATAGCCTCAAAACCATCCATAAGCACCTATGCCATACCAACCTTTTTATTTTGGTTATTAATATAAACTAGAGAAAAAGTCATTACAGTGGGACATGATGACTCTGGGACACTTAACTTACTTTATAAATTAATGAGTAATATTTAACCGCAGTTTATTATAGTACAGTCACACAAATTAGTGCATTGGTCGCCTCGGCGGAGAGATGTGTTGTACCCTTTATTACATAAAATATTTTACTTGTTCCATTGTCTGCCATGTTTCATTTATGCCTGATTTTAAATTCTTGTCCCAGACAAGTTCATCGTAAACCAAATATTCCAGTGAGATCCTGAGGAAATTTATGTGAATTAACCAACATTTTTTGTTCCATGTCAGGCAGGCGACTCTGAAGTGCAACGAACTCAACATGGGGCTCGTCTCGTATCCGCTGACCAACAGGGTATTTACTTATTTGTAAAATATTGATATTATTTGAATGGAGAAAAAGCGCAGACGTAAAAAGTCAATGCCGAATGAGTTCAACTGATTCTTTACATATTCAGTTCCCAAATCAAACTATGATTACATTTGTCTTGATGCAGTAGAGACCAACTTATAAGATTAAGTTGGAGCTATTTTCTGGAATGCCTTCAAGTGTCTAAAGTAAAAGTAAAGCAGGAATGGGGCTGGCTGCATATGAGGGTAAGCTAAGCGTAGCAGATCTTGTGTAAGGCAGTTGTGTCCGCTTTATTTAGGAGATTTCAAAACATCTAGTAAAGATGCCAAGGTTGTAGTTAGGCGCTAATACGCTCGATATGACAACTATACCGTGACTCGGCTCATTACCTGCCGTGCCGACCCCGATTTGTGAAACGGTTTTCAATAAGTTGATGAGAATCATTTCATTTTTACGTAGGATTACTGAAATTTCACAGGATAACTCGGGCAGCTGCATGCATATTAACTTCAGTTTATTATATATTTTCAGTTATTTAACTTTGTTAAAATATTGTATTTTAAAATATTGTATTCAGTTTGGTTAAAAAGAATGCCATTTTATTCAGAATTTCTTTGAAGTTTATAGCTCTTCCTATTTATACTGAGCTGAGTAGTACTTATACTGAGTATAGGTTAAAGCAGCTGCGAGTGAAGGTTGAAGCAGTTGCGAGTATTTAATTGCTATGGCTGTTGCGAGCATAAGTTATAAGTATAAGACAGCTGCAGGTATTGGTCAAATAAGCTGCAGGCATAGGTAAGGGCAGCAGCTATGTGTTGAAGCAGTAGAGAGTATTTGTATTAATTTCTCTTGATTGCTCAAATTGTTAATTTAGCAATAATTCAAAAGCAAAGATAATAGTACAAGATCCCACCGTATCTTTCTTGAAGGAAGCGTTTCGGAGTCCACCTCAGTCGTCAGTTCAATATCCTAGAATACAAGTAAAATCACTTAATACACTATAATTTATATTGCATTTTTAAAAATCTCAATTCAAAATGGGAAACAAATCAATATGAAATAACCACTAGCGGTAAGGACAATCTTTTTATAATTTCGAAAGGATAGAAAGTGATGGTGGAATATAAACTAGGCTTCTGCTTGAAAATGCACATGCATGCAGGGATCCTAAAATTCACAGGTAAGAAGCACCGGATGTAGAAGTTGAAGTTCTTGAATTACTACTGGATACCGGGACGTTGCACTGCTCGGCATGAACGCGTACAGTAGAATGAGGCAGATGTGCAAGAAGGTTTCAGTTCTATTATTTCTCCTTTAATGCTTCATCAGTATATTATGAAAATTTGGTGACGTCATACCGACATATGATGATGCGCACTGCGCACAAGTGTATTTATAAACTATATATAGGGGGGTTCGCAGAGAACTGGGTTAGTATCTTCATTAAAGAGAGAGCCGCTTCAAAATTATTAACCAACTTTCGAATGGTCTTTAGTAATTCCTTGACATAGTCTCAGATTTGGGGCCTTAGTAAGGACATGAACAATAAACTATTCGTTCCTAATTTCACATTCGATTACAACTTCTGAGTTAATTCTGAGCTGCGAGATATAGGTTAAGGCAGCGTTGAGCAGGTATAGGCATCTGCGAGCATATGTTCAGGCAGCATCAAGCATATGTTCAGGCAGCAGCAAGCATATGTTCAGACAGCAGCAAGCATATGTTCAGGCAGCAGCAAGCATATGTTCAGGCAGCTGCAAGCATATGTTCAGGCAGCAGCAAGCATATGTTCAGACAGCAGCAAGCATATGTTCAGGCAGCAGCAAGCATATAGGTTACTGCTGCGCGACAAAGGTAGCGCTGTTGCTAGTAAAGTAACGCCGATGGGAGTGAATGGTTACGCTATAGAGAATAATAAGTTACACAGTTTCTCGTTACTCAGCTAGCCTGCGAGCTGTGTGGGAGCGTCTGATTACAGTTAATGGAAGAGTTACAGTCCACACGTGTGAGCTGAAATCGCAGGCTGTCATATGGCTTCAGTTCTTTGTATCACCAGGATACACCAACTCGGCCCCTATGATCGTATGGGCAGCGATTGAAGGATTAATAAAATAATAAATGGAAACTATAATGATGAACAAAACATTAAATACAAAATAAGTACCATTTATTTTCCTAGCTCTTCTCCCAACTTTGGGTCTTTTCTGGAAATACATGGAGAAACGCAAATTAAGGACTTGAATTAATCTAAACCTTGCAAAGAATACAACGCAAACTTGAAAAAAGGCCAATATAAATAATACTATTATAATAGAACATGGGAGCACCACTGAATCGAGACGAAATAGCAGAAAATTAACTGGCTAAATAACAACACGCACCTCCGCGGTGGATCACAGAAAAACGAGTAAACACGTAGCGTGTCTCCACGGTTCACGTATGGGGTAACACTAAACCTAAATGAAAAATACCCGTAACCTTACATTTAAAATATGTATTGCACGGTGTTCCCTAACGCATTAAATCATTTTTATATGTCGCCTACAATTCATGTTTGGATTAATGAAAACTGGCGGCACTGCTGGTCTACGAACATTTGTTACGCTCCTTTTTTCCAGTTTTTTCATAGCTCGACAATATGAGTATGTTCAAAATTAGCATGGCTCAGCGAAAGTGCATTCATTCGGTCCATAAGGCTACTATTGGATACCTGGAAAGATGAAGCTTTATGATGATGGCAGGCTACTGTTGGATTACTATTACGATGGTAGCAGACTGCTGGTGCACGGTTTAGAACATTGGTTCCAAAGTGGGCGATATCGCCTCCCTGGGGGCGTTGGAAAGATCATGAGGCCGGTGAGGAAGAAAGGGGCAGTATATGGGAGCGGTAGTCCGCGAAGTCGAAGTCAGAAGTTTGTACGTTTGTTTGACGATTTTTACACAACAAATGCCGAACATGACTCGGACTCCAATAAATTTTCACGAGCTAAAAATCACCGCTTGGTAGTTAGGAATTTATGTTCAAAATTTCGTTCGAATAGGTTCAGTAGTTTGGAATAAATTCTCTGATCACTGCAAATTTCGGCCCATATCGCCATAAAACTCCCGAATGAAGGTGAAATTTAAAAATTTTTCACAAGCTAAACATCACCGTTAAGTCCAAATGAATACGTGTTCCAAGTTTCATAGAGCTGCATTCATTAGTTTGGGAGATATTCCTTGGTCACAGACTTTGGATATTGGCCGTGAGACCGACCACAAGTCCGGCCGTAAATTTGTCCGAGTCGTCTTGAATTTCTAGTGCTGAAACAGTTAAAACTGTAAAAAATATATTGGTTTACTAAATGGGGTTCCATTTGTGAAATACACATTTGTGTTTATCCTTTCTCTTTTAAAATTGCAGCGTACTAAATATCAAGAAAGAGGCGTTTCTTCTTATATGTGACTGTCGGAGGGGGGGGGGAGCTAGAGGTTCAGTGGGGAGCCAAAGCTGCCTCCAGCCTTAAAAAATTTGGGAACCACTGCTTTAGAATGACATTCGATACAGTCATAATGGAGTAAACGTTGATAATTTCCACAATAAAGAAATTTTAGTACGAGAGAAACCTAGGTATATGACATCAGGTTTAACGCCACATCAGGCCTACACTTCAGAGCCGACATCACTATGTTATGTTATGTTATGTTATATAGCTTTCATTCATTTCAACTTTTGGAATTTGTTTGGTCTCATTGCAAGTAATTAATTCGAATTTACAGAACCAAAGAAATAAAAAACATTCTAATTTCACTCACCGATCCCGTTCTTTAATCACTCGAGATTTCACCAATGAAAATTTTTCTGATCAGGGTGATGTCACGACACGATTGTGGATATGCGCTGGAATCGCGCTTATCCCATGTCTTTCCAGCTCCAGACTTCAAACAAGATACTAAGCAGAAACCTTTTAGAAAGTAACATTTCAATGATAAGTTTTCAGCAATGAAAATAAAGCAAGAAAAAGCAGGTCCGTGCACAATGTATTGATCTAGCTGCCACTGCCTGGAATATTAAAGCTGATTAAAATGAATATGTACCGTATGTCTGTTGATTAAACGCAAACTGATAACATGTCGAATATAGATTGAGAAGCATGTCGTAGATTATTTTGCATTTACGTAGGAAAACATGGAAAATAGCATACGGTCGAATATGCAGGTCTATCATTTGGGTGACCCTTTATTGATATTGGAAAGACTATATAGCATCTCTGATCGCCCAGGGAGTCAAACTGAACGCGTTAAGACAGTGAGAGATTTCGCGACTAAGTTGCGCTCATCAGATTTTGGTCGCATGGAAAATATTTTTAAAACTTGTTTTCACGTCATTTCTTTCCAGGACCGTGCCATTTTGACGATCAGGAAACTGGAATGGTTCTACGTGGACCTGAAACGGCAGACTGACGGCACCTACGCTTCAAGCAACCAAGCCATGGTCCTGCCCAGCAACTATGGATTCCAGTGGTACCCTGGCAACCCAGGCATGGGAAACGAAGTGTGTATGGGAATGGGAGGCACTCCGTTGGTGACTTTCGACCATCCCTGTACCGCCTCTCAAGACGGACAATACACACTGTTTTGCATGGTGTGACGAGTAACTGCTACAGAGAGTAGACGTTAAAATTAATGATGGAGTCGAGATAACAGCGTTCACTTGGTTAACCCAAGATTTGCCGTGTCGGGTAAACGATTAATTTGTTGAAGATTAGTGCAAATGTTTCCAGGAGTCACATGATATCTTGACCCCAGCCCGAAATTTTTATTACGAACACTTCCAATCGTTGCACAGAAACAACGAATTTCGCTGCAATCGTCTTTTATTATTTGTCTTCAGAATGCAACTGTTAAGCAACTATTCTACGTGACGGTTTACTGCAGCATATAATCAGTACCTTAATACCTATCCTATCGCAGTGACTCATTTGTATCTCTTTAATTGATACATTTTAAAATTCAATTGCTTGTGTATTTTCAGGATTGCACCTCGATAAAACTGGATTTATTCATGTACAATTTCTTGTATAACGAGTCAAAATTTCACTCGCCCTGTTATATTATATACTCGTATTATCCCACTC